TTTTGTTACTCAGAATTGCTTTTGCCATTGTAGGTCTCTTTTGGTTTCACATGAATTTTAGGATTGTTTTCTCTAATTCTATGAGGGATGCTATTGGTATTTTGATCAGGACTGCATTAAATCTGTATAATAATTTTGGGACTATGAAATTGTTGTACAGATTCAGTGCAATCACAACTAAAATACCATTAGTATACGTCATAGATCTAGAGAAAACATTCCTAAAATTCATGTGGAAGCAGAAGCGGCCTAGAATAGCAAAAGCAATCTTGGGAAACAAAGGAAAGGCAGGAACCATCACAATTCCTGACTTCAAATTATATTACAAAGCTACTGTGGTAACATCAGCATGGTACTGGCAGAGAACAGACCTGAAGATCAATGGAACAGATTAGAAGATACAGATACAACTACAAACACACTCAGTCACCTTATCTTTGACAAAGGGACCAAACATCTTCAATGGAAGGAAGATAGCCTCTTTAATAAATGGTGCTGGAAGAACTGGCTTTCCACATGCCGTAGACTGAAAATAGACCCATGTCTTTCTCCATGCACTAAATTAAAATCAAAAGAGATCAAAGAATCTAAATATAAAAACAGAAACACTAAATTTATTGGAAGAGAAAGTAGGTAAAAATCTTAACGACATTGGGTAGACAGAGAGTTCATGAAAAAAAACCAGATTGCATGGGAAATACTTCAAAGAATTCGGATCTCATCTTACTGAAAAGTTTTTGCACTTCTAAAGAAATCACCAAGAAGTTAAAAAGAAAACCCACGAATTGGGAAAAACTTTTAGCCAACTGCCCCTCAGACAAAGGACTTCTATCTAGGACATATAAAGAATTTTAAAAAAATTCAGGCGCCCCAAATTCAAAGACCCAATCCAAAAATGGGCACCAGAGGTGAGTACACACTTCTCTATTAAAGAGATACTAATGTGAATAAGTACATGAAAAATGTTAAAAGTCATTGGTCATTTGAGAAATGCAAAGTGAAATAACACTGAGATTCCATTTCACCCCACAAAGAATGGCTGTCATCAAGAAATCAACCAATAAGAAATGCTGGAGAGGCTGTGGCGAGAAAGGAACCCTACTCCACTGCTGGTGGGAGTGTAGATTGGTGAAACCACTGTGGAAATCACTGTGGAGATTCCTCACAAACTAGGTTTGGAAGTCCCCTTTAACCCATCTGTTTCCCTTCTGGGTATTTTCCCCCGAAGAATTAAAGACATACCACAG